TGCCTTAAAGAAAAATTTGAAGAATTTACGCAGGATCGCACCCACGACCCTTCGGTTGCGAGCCAGACATGCTACCGATTAGGCAACGGAGGGCTTGGGAATGGCACCGCGATCCTGCCGTCATTAGAGTGCCTCGGTGTCTGTCTGTGTCAGGGTAAAGGCATTATCGCATCGAGTGTTGTTAGCGCGTGCCGAGCAAACACATAAATAAACCTTGTGGCGTAAAATGGCATGAAAGCACAGGCAAAAGCTTCTCGATCGCGCCGGGAGTGTTGTATGATAAGAACTAGGTCGTTGTGTTTACTCAAGAGCATGAGAAGCGATTGAGAAGGCCATGCGAACGGGGCCCGATAACCCTATCGTGTTCAACTCTTAAATGCGAAGGTTAATCGTCCTCCCAGTTTTTTTGTGTTTTTTTTTTCCCAAACATTTTCAGTTTTGTAAAGTGCGAAATTTGAGTTCGATTTATTGCGTGGAAACACTACGTGAAGTTAAATTGCTTGACGAATGTAATTATAATTATTTTCAGTTATATGTTATATTGTATTTTCTATGATTTTGACGAAGTGAATAGAAAAGTACCTGTAAAAAGTAACTTCACTTAGTTACAAGATACTGGAAAATGTACCTAAGATAAAAATACAGATACTGAGAAATGAAAGTACCTAGGTTTGTACCTCAGGTACAACAAAAGTACCTAGATACCGATTTACAGTTACTTGTACCTAGGTACTTTACAACCCTGGTATCAGCTCATGAGCGATAAACGCCCTTCTGCGCGCTTTCCGTGCAGTCATTCATAAGAAAACTAAAACAACATCAGACCGTGATGTACTCTCTTATAAACGACGTCTGACTGACGCGTCTGCTTGTAGCACGAATTGCTCATTCATATTTTGATAAAATTGTTTCTTGTTGATAAATACACGCAGCACCGGCAGACTTCTCCTAGCCCTGACTTCATTGATGCTTTGGATGATCTTGAACGCGTGGAGGCTCCTTCAACGTCATGTTTGCCGGACGAGCAACACCATCATGGGAAAGATACTGTAGCCGCCGGCAAATTTGTGCCAGCAAAAAGCTACCTGCTCAAAAAGAGCAGAGGTAACATGTCCTGCCGGCATGCGTGGTTTCAAATGTTTCATTGGCTCCACTACGTCACTGATCGCGGTGGCATGCCTTGTCACGAATGTAGTATTGCGTTTAAGGAAAGAGGGGTCACATTCCGGGCTTACAGGTCAGCTTTCTACAGAGTGGGTTCTCAAACTGGAAGATCGCGCTTGAGAAGTTTCTCAGGAATGAAAAGAGAACGTATCATCTCGACGCCGTGCAGCACCAACTTGGCCAAACAAAGGGTGCACGTGCTGTTGAGCTCCTTACAAGAAATTCCATGAAGCAGCACCAAGAGTCCAGGAACGCTCTTCGCGTCATTGTGAGTTCTATTCGGTACTTCTGGCGCAAAGGTCAGGCTCTACTTGGGCACACTCTACAGGACGGCAACCTAGTTGATTTATTAGAGGAACGCTCCTAGGATGTGCCTGCTCTTCAGACCTGGCTAACTCGACAAGACAAGTAGCTGAGCAGTGTCATCCAAAAATAAATAATCAAAATCATGGCTCCCACACTACAACGCGACACTGTAGAAGAGGTGAAAAGGAGCCCTTTTTTTGGAATCATCGCCGACGGGACAATTGATGTTGCCGGAGACAAGCAGTTTAGTCTATGGTTGCGTTGGGTCGAAAATGTGTTGTTCGAATTCAAGGGAGAGTTTATCGGGGTTTACAGCCCTTCAACTGAAAGGCTAACACGCTGTTCACAGAAGTCAAAGATATGCTCGTTCGTCTAGTGCTGGACTTCAGTAGCTTTCTAGGGACACTGCTTTGATGGTGCAGCAAACATGTCTGGGTGTTTCTCTTGTGTTCAAAAGAAAAGCGACATTCAGTTAAAGTTTGTTTACGTGCATTCTGTCAGCCATTTTTCAATTTTTGCTCTGCTGGAGGTTCGCAGAAGCGGCAGAGTAGTCGCAGAAGCGTTAAGTACTCTAAACGACGTGTCCAACATTACCCTTACGTAATGCTGGACACATGCATAGGAATAGTCCTCCCTTCATGCGTAGACGCGTCACAGCAATGGTGCGTGGAGGCAATTAGTCTTCTGCCACTCTGTTCAACGAGGTGCACAGTGCGAGTGAAGTTCATAAAACGAGTTCTGCAGAACTACGAGAGAGTTCAAGCTACGATCTACGATATTTTGCAACGCCAAGATTTTCTTTGGAGATGGTCGAGAGGGTACTAAAAACTGCTCAACAAGTTTGAAACACTTTTCGGACTGAACATGTCAAAGGAACTCTTCGGCCCATGTGAACAACTTGCCAGGGTTCTTCAGAGTCCTAAATACAGTGCGACTGGAACGATGCAAGCGGCTGAAGCTCTCCATCAAGCTATGATGAATTTGAAAATAGATAAGGGTTTTGATAGAGCTTAGGCCGAAACCAAGAATGCCTCCGTGGAGCTTGACCTTAAAAAGAGGGAGCCCACAACCACCAGAACTGTAAAGCCGCCAACAATATTTGAGCAGACGTGAACGCCCACTTCCCTACAGTGGTGCTGGATGCAACGGCTAACTTTCGAAATTAGTTCTTCTTTTTTTTTTTTTTGAGGCAGTTGATTGCGTAACGTCTGAAATAAAGAGCCGGTTCGACCAACCTGGCATGATTCTGCAGGTTAAGCTGCAATGCACGCTTGTCAGCGGTGCACGTGGACAGCTATTTAATGCGGAAAGGTTAAAATAAGCGTTTGGCGTCCAAGGCAGCGACTTTGATTTAAGAAGGCTAAATGCACAGCTTGTACTCCTCCCAGTGGTTCTTTCTGGCATAGAGGTGACCGTAGTCGATGATGAGGTGGAAGTACTGAAGGCGCAGTCTTGAACTGCTCTGAATCTCTTGTTCCAGGTTGTCAGGCTTGTGCAGCTTTGACTAACGGTGCTAACGTAGGCGGAATCAGGGGAGCGTTCTTTCAGTGCGCTGAGGCGAGTACAAACTTACCTATGGAGTCGCATGACGCAGGCCCGCCTCGCTCATCTCCTGCTTCTGCATGCCCACCGACAAAGAAGTGAAAAGCTGTGCCTCAACAACGTCATGATTGGATTTATCGCCAAAACAGCCGAACGCTTAGCTACGCAGGACGTATGTTAGTTGGATAGTTTTTTTTTCCTCTTTCGACAAAGCGTTCAAAACGAGAAGTTGCGTGTTTGAAAGTTGACTCACCGACCAGTGCCCCTCGATCTCGGTCAAACGCGCGCAGCAGAGCGAGCAGCCGTTCACCGACAGTCTACATTCTCTGGCAGTGTATATTTTTGCCTCTTTCCTGTACCTGAATATGTTGAATGTTGGTTTAATGCCTCGCATATAGCTGTTAACAAATCAGTAAATATACACGCCTGATAAAGTGTATCATTAGTAGGGTTGATTCGTACTAAGTACCAGATGCAAGCAAGTACTACGTATTTGGCTTTATAGGAGACAATACACTCTTGTTGAAACTTTCCGTTTATGCTTTTTGCCTTGTTTATTTTGTGTTGCGTTTTGGGGCATCTAATTAATTCGCGCACAAATGGAGCTCTTGTGTCGCCTTCTGGTCATTACGTTTCTTCTTTTTTTTTTTTCGTGACAGTGCTGAATTATTAGTGTCTCTATATATGGCGGGATGCCTGGGGTAACTTTCCATGAAATGTTCATGTGTACATGTTTCCTTTCATCCTTTTCTTCTGCTTGATGCGGCTCAATATGGCATCGTCACGTTTTTTAATAAAACAGTTTTTTTTGTTGGACAGTATATGTATTCAATCTGTTGAATAAACGAAACATGTATGAAGAAGGTATCGGAACGCATCAGCGTATTTTTTCTTGGATAGGGTATTTCTAATTATCTGTGCCGCACCTTAACTAAGTGCGATAGTTTTGGTAAAATAGGTCATTATATAAGGTTTAGAATATGAGAGCAGGAACGGGATATAACCACGTTAACATAACTGTAGATAGTTATGCTCTGATCCGTCTGTTATGTATTCTTCCTTGATGCTTTATCGTCGGAATGAGTTCTCCCCAAAAACCGTAGTTATCTTAAAAGAATATGGCTGTGCAATGCCACCTTTGACATTGTATTTCGGTTAATTTTAACACTTGTTTGTCTACGTCTGCGTTAATACATCGTGGTTCCTTGAGATACCATAAATGAAGGGACGTTTTCATTTTCAGTGAAAGCCAATTAGGCATAGGCACAGCTGCGGTCAATATGTCATACTTTGTAAAGGAAATAAAAAGAACTAAAAGAACACATGATGCGGCTGATTTTAGTGGTTATCGAATCATTGTATGAGTCGTCAGTGTTTTTACTCTTATATTACCGAACCATTGTTTTACTTTGTATTCCATGTATTTGAGCGTAAATATGTGAAGGCGTTGCATTAATAAGTTTTTAATAAAATATGGCAATTAATGTCACCTTGGAGCCAACCTAACCTTGAGGATTTGAAGATGTCGAGCCCCCCCCCCCCCCCCCCCCCCCCCCCCCTCCCTTCCAAAGAAAGATTTCCGGAGCCTCCGTGACTGCGCAAGGAGCGTACGACATCCGTGCCTGCCATGTTTGAATGGAAACGATAGGTTGAAGCAAAGGCAACCATAGTTTATGGCAGGTTAAAAGTAAAGTGGAAGCTCCTCCAACTTGTTTTCGCTATAGCAAAAGCAACGCTAGAGAGGGTGCGACGTCCTCTCGTGCGTTCGCTCTGCTAAAGTAAAAAGAGGTGGGAGGAGCTTTCATTTTATTCTTAACCTGCCACCGACAATTGTCTTTGAGTCTCCCCAGCATAACCTTCCAAGCAGGGTTCGGTGCTTTGACGTCGCTGTACCTTCTGCGCAAGAAGCAGATGGACCTGCTCGCTGTACACCTTTCGGCTGTTCGACCTTTTTGTTGTGTTGATATCTAGTGCGATGATGCCATTACCTGGCCAAGGCTGCCGTAGTTGAATGAATCCGGCCCGTCCTTGATGAAGAACGGCGGCTGAAGAAGAGCGGGCGCAACAGCGGCCCAGCTGGCACTTTCCGCGTAGATCACCCTAGGCGCGCTTACGCTGAAGAACACGTCGTTCTGCTTGTGTATCAAGGACTGATGCCGTTCAAAGGCACCATTTATCCAGTGTCTGAAGAACTCCCCGTCGTCCCACTGGTACTTCTCTGCGGAGTATGGATGCAACAAAATCGATTGAGAATAAATAAGTTAAGATTGATTTTTAAAAGGTTAGGCTATAGTTTTTCATTTCAAAACCACCTCGCAATAAATTAGAGATTATCCTACAGATCAAATTTTTTTTAAGTTATTGTTTTCTGAAGGTATATCCAGAGTAATTACGTGCCTGTGTGTGAGATGCCATATGCATAGCTTGCAAGTGCGTTTGAAGGTACGTTTGAAGAAAAAGAGGACGTTATTAATTAACTCTCTACTTATCAAAACTTGATGGCGAAGTTGTGGCGATCACATTATCACCGTCAACAATGCAATTCCTTCGGTTTTACCATCAATCTATGCAATTCCGGTGGTGACGACAATTAAATGTTGCTCATACAGTAGAAACGACCAATGCGCGAGCAATCGATTTGGGATTGTGAGAATCGATGCCTTGACATGTATTCGGGTAGCAGCTTGTGCCCAATAAATCCAATGACGAGAATACCCAAACCTTAAAATTTCGACGAACTCAGCGAGTGCGCTGCACGTTGCCAGCCCCAACGTGTCGCTATGACAAGCACTGGCGGCCTATAGACTGCTCTGGACCCTGTAGCCGATTCTTCTCGCTGCGAGTTGAAGAGGCGAACGCTTGTTTTTCTTCAATATATATATATATATATATATAAGTCAAAGATGCGTACTGTCGGAGTTTCTAATTCGAGGCTTATTACGACGTTTCGAGCGGGGACCGCTCTTCACCTGATGAAGAGCGGTCCCCGCTCGAAACGTCGTAATAAACTTCGAATTAGTAACTCCGACAGTAAGCATCTTTGACTTATTAACTTTTCCCGGTTCATTGTTGTTATATCTACGTTACTTCACCTATATATATATATATATATATATATATACATATATATATAAGTCAAAGATGCGTACTGTCGGAGTTTCTAATTCGATGTTTATTACGACGTTTAGAGCGGGGACCGCTCTTCACCTGATGAACAGCAGTCCCCGCTCGAAACGTCGTAATAAACTTTGAATTAGTAACTCCGACAGTAAGCATCTTTGACTTATTAACTTTTTCCGGTCCATTGTTGTCATATTTACCTTACTTCACCTCTCTCTCTCTCTCTCTCTCTCTCTCTCTATATATATATATATATATATATATATATATATATATATATATATATATATATATATAGATTTTTTTGGCTTTTTTGCCAATTTTTGGCTTTCGGCGGGTTCCTGGAAACCTCAATTCTTTGATTCATTAAATTAAGTACGGTTCATTCATCTGCACATATTCGTTCATATCCTCCTCGGAGACCACGTACGATGACGTGAAGTGCCCGTGTTGTATATTCAATAACGTGGCTCTTGATTCTCGCAGATGATGATGATACCGTGTCTCTAAAGCTCATAAACAAAGAATACTACATGTACACGGGGCGAGACAAACAGTGGGAGGATTTCTGGAGCACAAACGAGCACGTACCACGTGACACTAAGCGTCGTACCGCGTTCCACGCGGCGGCGTGTGTTTCCAGAACACCTCCGATTGGATACATTTCGTTTCTTGTGCATTAATAAGACAGGTAGGAAACGCCAGAAAGCCAAGGTATAGTGGTGTAGTGGTTAGCACACCCGACCGGACATTGGAAGGCCCAGAGTTCAAATCCTGGCTCCGCCAATTTTTGGCTTTCGGCGGGTTCCTGGAAACCTCAATTCTTTGATTCATTAAATTAAGTACGGTTCATTCATCTGCACATATTCGTTCATATCCTCCTCGGAGACCACGTACGATGACGTGAAGTGCCCGTGTTGTATATTCAATAACGTGGCTCTTGATTCTCGCAGATGATGATGATACTGTGTCTCTAAAGCTCATAAACAAAGAATACTACATGTACACGGGGCGAGACAAACAGTGGGAGGATTTCTGGAGCACAAACGAGCACGTACCACGTGACACTAAGCGTCGTACCGCGTTCCACGCGGCGGCGTGTGTTTCCAGAACACCTCCGATTGGATACATTTCGTTTCTTGTGCATTAATAAGACAGGTAGGAAACGCCAGAAAGCCAAGGTGGAGTGGTGTATGGTTAGCACACCCGACCGGACATTGGGAGGCCCAGAGTTCAAATCCTGGCTCCGCCAATTTTTGGCTTTCTGCGGGTTCCTGGAAACCTCAATTCTTTGATTCATTAAATTAAGTACGGTTCATTCATCTGCACATATTCGTTCATATCCTCCTCGGAGACCACGTACGATGACGTGAAGTGCCCGTGTTGTATATTCAATAACGTGGCTCTTGATTCTCGCAGATGATGATGATACCGTGTCTCTAAAGCTCATAAACAAAGAATACTACATGTACACGGGGCGAGACAAACAGTGGGAGGATTTCTGGAGCAAAAACGAGCACGTACCACGTGACACTAAGCGTCGTACCGCGTTCCACGCGGCGGCGTGTGTTTCCAGAACACCTCCGATTGGATACATTTCGTTTCTTGTGCATTAATAGGACAGGTAGGAAACGCCAGAAAGCCAAGGTGGAGTGGTGGAGTGGTTAGCACACCCGACCGGACATTGGGAGGCCCAGAGTTCAAATCCTGGCTCCGCCAATTTTTGGCTTTCGGCGGGTTCCTGGAAACCTCAATTCTTTGATTCATTAAATTAAGTACGGTTCATTCATCTGCACATATTCGTTCAAGAAAAGAACCCTTAGTGAGAACAGCAACAACGGACGATTTAATCTTCGACGTTTCGGTCGGAGTCCGGCCTTCGTCAGTCCGGCCGGCCGAAACGTCGAAGATTAAATTGTCTGTTGTTGCTGTTTTCACTAAGGGTTCTTTTCTTCTTCTATACCCACGCCTTCGGCCCCCCCACCACCATGCCCGTTGGATATATATATATATATATATATATATATATATATATATAACACGGGCACTTCACACCATCGTACGTGGTCTCCGTGGAGGATATAAACGAATATGTGCAGATGAATGAACCGTACTTAATCCAATTAATCAAAAAATCAACGTTTTCAGGAACCCACCGAAAGCCAAAAAACGGCGAAGCCAGGATTTGAACTCTGGGCCTCGCAATGTCCGGTCGGGTGTGCTAACCTCTACACCACTCCACCTATGGCGGCGGTGCGTGGAAACACTTAACTTAACCTGAAAACGTTGATTCTTTGATTAATTGGATTAAGTACGGTTCATTCATCTGCACATATTCATTTATATATATATATATATATATATATATATATATATATATATATATATATATATATATATATATATATATATATATATATATATATATATATATATAAACGAATATGTATACCCCTGTAATATATAATATATACCCCTCCAAGCCGTCGCGCCACCCTTGTCTTAATAAAGTTTAACAACAACAACAATATATATATATATATATTCTTTTTTCGTTATTGTTATTGCGTGAAGAAAAAGGAATCAACGCGTGTTTTATAGGTTATGAATGCCTAGGAATAAATACTGAGCGATGTTCATTCAGAGTGTATAAGTGTTAACATCTCCCCTGTAATGGCGCATGGAAAGACTTAACCAAGAAGTTTCAGTGAGTAACTCGAGGCAGCATTGCAGCATGACCTAACAGATTTTCAACCTGTCGTTCCTTCTAAAAAAACAATAGAAGCATTTGTGGGACTCTATCTGTCACCAATGTTCTATCTGTCACCAATGACAAAAAACAAAGTTTTTCGTGCGCGCTAGTTGTGGAACGTAAAATTCTTTTAACAAAAACCCCTATAATAAAATTGAGCCCTTCAGTCTGCCCAGCCGCCCGAGACTTACAGATGAATTCAGTTTTTCGGCTGAATTGTGCGTGGAAATTTACGCCCCGTGACCAAAACACCAATTCAGTTTCTTCGTGTTATTTAGCCGGAAACTTTGGCGCGTGGCCTGAAGTCACGAGATCTAGGCTTATTCAGATTTTTTCGCTAAATTTAGCGTAATATTTACGTCTTGATTTATAAACCAATTCAGTTTTCACGTTCAATTTATCGGGAAAATTGGTGTTAAAGGATCTTACGTCAACTGATCTATGCTTCAACTTATTTCCCCCTTAATTTGTCAAGAAACCTGAAGCCATATGACGACAGTCAGATTAGTTTCTTTCCTACATTTAGTGGGAAAATGAATAAACGTATAGGTTTAATTGAGCGATCATTATTCGGTCCCATAGAATGACGCCGTTGTTGCCTTAAAGCGTTGTCTATAGAAGCGAAAAACGGCACCTAAATACCTATTGCCTCAGCGAAACGGAACCTAATTTCCATTGGCTGTGCGAAACGGTACTTAAATTCTCACCGGCGGGGGCGCTCAAGGTCAAGGCGGACGCGCTTCAGAAATAAAACACAAAGAGAAGTACAGCAGCGCAGATGCTTCGTCAGGGAAGCCGTCGTGAAGCCGGCGGGGTTCACCGCGCCTGTGGGGGAGTGTGATGTCACTGCCGGAGCGCCGGGGGAAAAAGGAAGACGTGGCGCGCTGCTTGTACGAATGCGCTCTCTGTACGAATGCTTCTGCATTCCTACACGTAAGCAGTCTTAAGTGTCTCTGCCGCATTTTTACTTTCACTCCCCGAAACGTATGTGTTTTATCTTCTAGATAAATTGAGACCATTTCTCAAAAAATACTGTATTTCATGAATCATAACGCTTCGCAAAGAACAATTGTTGTCTTTTTCTTCTTAAAGATATTAAACAAACCGAACGTTGTAGTACTCCACAAATTTCACGCCGTCTTTCAAGTAACGTACCTGGGACGAGCTCCACCTGGTTTTATATTGCATTTTGTCATCTGAGCTTCTAGCCACTTTTTCCGCAATTGTCGACTTCTCAAGGATTAGTACCACCCAAGGACGCGGTGAGCGGTCGAGGCAAATGACTTGTTCGCCACGGGGCTAACAGCGAGTGTTGCAGGGATAAGAAACTGGTTTAATGACTTTTG